CTAATTATACGTGTAAATGTGTTTTCGTTTAAACGTATAATAGTTAATTACACGTATATTCGGAAAAACGTTTCTAATAAACGGATATACTAATTATACATGTAAACGTATTTTCGTTTAAACGTGTAATAGAGAGCCCTAATATATAGGGGAGAGTGGTCTAAGTCGGACCGTGTTCCAAATAGGACCTTTTTAATTTAAATGAATGGTTAAGCAGATTTGCATACTATTTATAATGTAAAGTCCTTATAAGACACCGAACATGCGATAGCAGTTTGACAGTTCTCTGTCATAACATTCATAAAATAGAGGCATATGTCTTTTCAATCATTGTGCGAAAATTTTTTTAAAAAAGAAAATCCTTGTAAATCATTATTTAAAAGGTGTTAAAAATTTGAAAAGTAATATATTTGAGAAAATTAAATAGTGTAGAATTCAAAAATATTAAGCATTTCGTGATCACTTTTGCGGTTTATTGTAAAATTTGTTCCAAAGTTCGAAAGGACCTGTGTCCAAATCAGACAGTACAGTGAATAATTTATAGGCCTGGTTGTAGTACTGGTGATTGGCTGACCAGATCTGATCCAAGCAATTAAATCAATAAAATATCATGAGTCATCAGACTCAGATTAGTTGAGTTTTATTGATTTCAATTCTAATAATATAAATAGTCGGTAATTTCTTTTTCCGAAAAAATTTTTATCTTTGTCAAATTGCTCGTTTTTACTCAATGCTAAGAGAAATACATTAAAATATTTTAAAATTTTATCTAAAAATCCATAAAAATAAGAGTTTTCGATCTGAACCAGGGAATGGTCCGATTTGGAACCGATGGTTCCAAATTAGACTGGAAAGAGCGTTTTTACATTTTCCATAATAGTTTAACACAGGTGAGAGATACGTCAAAAATGAAGGGAATTAAATGATCTTTCCAATCGACAGCTTCGATTTTACGATCGGACTTTATTTACGCCTTATAGAGAGCAGAAACTGCAAATAGGTCCGATTTAGACCACTCTCCCCTATATATATAAAAAATTTGAAATTCTTCTGTTTTAATTTACACAAGTATATAAAAAGTTAATAAGTTACATATCGCGCTTCTTCGAATTTTTTTAAAATATTTACATATTATTTAATAAGAATATATAATCTTTAAAGTACATATTTTTAACAAGTATATATTCGATTGTGAGAAGAATGGTTCATAATTCTGTGTTTTTTTTCGATAAATGAGATGAAGAACAATGAAGAAGCAACTATTATACTGTTTTTCTTTTGCAGGAAGTATATATTAACGAAAGATTTGGAAATTGGAAGGACTGGACCCTGGCGTATATAAATATTTTGCACACGCGCGCGCGCGCGCGCGCGCACACACACACACACACACACACACACACTTTTTTCCATTACAGAAATCTTTCAGAAATGAATGCAGAAGCAGAGGCTACTTGGAGAAACTAATTAATATTTTCCTTCCAGAAGTTGCGGTGGATATATGTTTATTATTATATGTATATATAAAATATATCCTCTCATGTGATTGCTGTTTGTGAGGTGAGTTTAAAAGGTATTCTTCCATCTTTTTTTCCTTTCCCTCTATCCATCATCACGTAGAAAACATGTGTTATCTATAAAAAAATTTGTGAATGTGTTTTTGATTATTTCAATAAATAACATCATTTAATACTATGTGGTGTTTTTTTACCCAATAAATACAAGAAGTGAGAAAATGATAAAAAGAAAGTGACCATTTTATTAAGATGAATTAATTGATTCTAAGACAGGCAAATAAATTATATTTAATAAATAAACAATAACAATAAAACGCTCGTTACATTGCATAATAGCAATCACAATAAATTTAAAAAAAACAACCGAAAAGGCAAGGATGTAGAAAACACAGAATAGTATATTTCGAATTTACATAATCGATTTACGTTTCGACTTTACGGAGTCTTTTTTTAAAATCTACCTCGAAACAAATCCAATTTATGTGTTACTACAGAGAATAAATTGTCGCCATATACATTCAAAAACGCCGGAGAATAATGTAATAAAGGGCCAAACAAGTCGAGATAAAATTTTCCATAACTCAATAAACTCTGTGGTCTTTATCAATACTTTATTCCTTCTCAACAATGCAAAGAAAGAAATTTTGAAAATTCGGTCGTCAAAAAATAAAACACTTTTTAATATTAACAGTTTTTGTAAGTTTTTCCTACAGTTTTTGTTGCATTCCATATTTCATTATTTGATTTAATTATTTGGATTTTATCTTCTTGACTGAAATGGTATTTGGACATATAATGGACGACCAAACTTTTAAAATTTCTTTACGTTGTTAAGAAAGATTAAAATATTGATCAAGACCACCACATTTATTGAGAATTATGGAAAGTTCTGTCTCGATTGATTTGACCTTTTGTTTCATGATTCTCAGGCGTTTTGTACATATATACGTGGGTGGTTCAAGTCAAACCGGGACTTTTATTCTCATGAACATAAGAATAAAAAAGTCCCGGTTTGACTTGAACCACCAACGTATATGGCGACAATTTATTCTCTGTAGTAACATATAAGTTGGATTTCTTTCTCTCGAGGTAGATTTAAAAGAAAATGTAAAGTCGAAACGTAAATCGATTATGTAAATTCGAAATGTACTATTATTCTGTTCAATAGGTTAAATAAGAGTTGTACTATTATTCTGTTCTCTATATCCTTGTTTTTGCTCGTTTATTTGGTTGTTTTTTTAAATTTAATTATAAATTATATTTAGGCATGTATTATGCATTTCGTATCTAATCTGCCCTACATTTGTTAAACTTTCTGGCCCGTATTCAAAACGCGCTTACAGCGATGTTAGCGTGCTAATATACTATATGTCACACACTTTATAGAATTTCAGAGATAAAAACGCGCTTTTCTCGGTAAAAGCACGTTCTGAATACGGGCCAATATGTCTAGACATTAATGTCTACATGTATCTACATAGTCTATGTGTATGTATGAACCAGTATATTTATAAAGCATTAACTGGGTTTGTACAATCACACATAATCTGTCTTATTAAATTTAAAACACGCGAGTGATATATCTGAGTTATACATACATAAAATTTTGTCAAACTTATGTATTACTAACGTATAAAAAAATTAAGTGTAAGCAAATTTTAAAATAAAATCTTTCTATTCGAAGAGTAGTTTTTGAGATGAATGCACAATATATAAAATATGTTTTAGACACTACATTACCAGCAGTCCTTTATCTAAAGAACGTATTTTTTTTAATATTGTCATTTTATTAAATAACTAATAACATTTTAAAAAGCACATCGTTATCTATTGTGTATTATGTACAATTATTTCAGAATATTCCTTGGTAGATTAATTTGCATATCGGAGAATAAAGAGCGATACCTCAAAACAGTCCATTCGAGGAAAGCATATCGTCTATCACTTTGCACATAATACGATCACTTGAACTACAAGGGTCCTGCGTTTGTTGTTCGAAACCTAAATTATCTACAGATTCCATAGCGTCTGTGTTTATCGCAAGCTTGGAGTCCAGTTCCGATGTATCGGGAAGCATTTGTAAGGCATGCTGCAATATTTCTTGAACCTGAAACAATTTTAACATTAGCTACAATCGTGAAAATTATACGTGAACATTACTATAAAGGTTGAAAAGAAAATCCAATGTTAATAAGAGTCAAGATATATACAGGGTGTTTCATTTTAAGTGATATAGTCGATTATCTCGCGAATCGATAATTTTATTGAAAAATTTTTCGAACGAAAGTTGCATGGCTTGAAGGGGGACACATGATGGAAATGTGAACTTAATTTGAAGTGACCTTGTGAAAATCAGGTTATATATATATATATATATAGTCATTAATGTTTTTTAAATGGAACTCCTATTTTTTATTACATATTCTTGTAACTTATTTCGAGAGCTTTCCAAAACACTAATAAAGTTATTTTTCGTTAAGCACTTGTTAAGTTACAAGGCAAGACCGATCACTGATCCGGCCGATTAAGGCAAGTTGAATCGTTCAATTGGGAAGGATTGGACTCAATTCCGTACGCGTGAGCGATGTCAAGCAGTGTGGATAGATCGCGGAGACGCGCGCGCGTAAGAATCCCGCTCACACGCGCATGCGTACATGGATAATGCCGGCGGTACTGTAACTTTCAAGCTCCATAACTCGGAAAGTACTTAACGAAAAGTAACTTTATTATAGTGTTTTGGAAAGCTCTCGAGATAAGCTATAAGAATATGTGATAAAAAATTGGAGTTTCCATTTAAAAAAACATTAATGACCTTGACTTTATTTCGACAAGGTCACTCAAGATCAAGTTCACATTTCCATCATGTGTCTCCCTTCAAGCCATGCAACTTTCGTTCGAAAAATTTTTCAATAAAATCATCGATTCGCGAGATAATCGACCATATCACTTAAAATGAAACACCCTGTGTGTATATATATATATATGTTTGATATATATATGTTGAGATATATATATATATACCTTTTCGAGGTGTTTCTGGAAACGCAGCGCTGTTTCATGACGTTGCCTACGTTGTAGTTCCATCATAACTCGTAACGTTTCTCTGGCTTGATGCGGTCGAAATTCATTTAACAGGTGATGAATGTGAATGAATAATAGACTGAGATCCTCGACCTGTAAGAATGTCCATCATAGAATATAAAGGCTATAGAACACAGGAAAATATAGAAAGTAGCAAAAAGCTAAGCAGATCGATCAATTACAGTAGGGAATAAGAAGAACATAAGACAATAAGAAGCAGTAACAAATAAAAAAGATTGCTTAAGGCTACGGCACATAAAAAAAACACATGTTATAAGCAAATGAACATTTTGGATTTGCTTACGTTACTGCTTCTATTGTAATGGATCGATTTGCTTACATATTGCTGTCTTACATTTTTCTATGAGTTATGGCTTTTGCTGCTTAAGGAAATTTATATGTAGAAACTCTAACACATGATACTAGTGTCTTTAGATTTAATATCTAAATAGAGACACAAATTATAAAAAAGTAAAAACTTTGAATAAAAAACACAGTTAAAAATTTTTACTCATATATATATATTTTTTTTTAACATTTGACGCTATATTAATTGCTCTAGAATTCCATTTTTACATTCATCAAAAGATTTCTGTCTAAACATAGCATAGTAAACAATCAAAATATAGTACAAAGCCTGTTTCCATCAATGACAGTTCAATCTCAGTTCAACTAACTCTTTATTTTTTTCTAGTTTTCTAATAAAAATTAGAAAAAGCTGGAGAATAGATAGAATGGAGATTAAATTTAATCCATATTGGTAGAAACTGGCATAAGTAGTAGCCATGTATATACTTGGATTCAGTTTCGTTGATCATGAACTCATTAAGTACTAAATGCAAAGATGTTTCTGCTATTAAAGATATTGCCGAAATAACGCAAATATTAAACGTTGTAAAAATAAATAAATTTTATGTCTTTTTTTTCAGGATTTTGATTAAAAAAAAAGTGAAAAAGCTATTTTTTTCATCTCTATATCTAAATTAAAACAGGACTATTTTTTTCGAATTAGAAATACAGCCTACTTTCTCCGCGCGTCTTGGACTGTCGGGGCACTGGACAAGAAGATCTATCAGATCGAGGAAATTGACGAGCAATGAGTGATTGAGCTTCTTCAATTCGCGCCGACGATCAAAGTGTTGCGGGTACAATCTCTTGATGCCCTGAGCCTCGAGCGGCCTAATGATGGTGTCATCAGCGTTGAACATGTTGCTGAACATGGAGTAGGTGTCGTGGATCGGCGGCGGCGGCCGCGGGGCTCGTCCACGCCGTACATTCTCATCCGTGTAGAGATTGATGTATTGGACGGGAGGCAGCGGCAGGGAGCTGACCTGTATCGCTTCGGGAGCCGCCATTCTCGATTCACCTCGATTCACACCTCGATACCGGTGGATGAGGTCGACGAGCGAAAGGACAGGTTATGGTTCCTTTCTCAATTTCCTTGAGTGGAGATCGCCGCTCCCTCCTGTAGTCCTCGTAGTCCTCGTAGTATCGCGTTACGCCCGCTAAGATCTCCCGCAGCGCCCACATGCACACGGACGGCAGGTGCACCGTGCAAAGAGCTCGCGAGCAAAGCAAAACAAGCCGATCTCGATTCTCGATCCTAGTCAGTCGGCTCCAGTCTGCTCGGTCTGGTTGGTTACTTCAGTCACTTGGTCCTGGTCGGCCATCTTGGACTTGCTTAGTGCTCGGGTGCTCCTCACTTCTCACTCAATGCTACTACCACACTACTACCCAGTCAGCCTAGTGCCCACTACTGCCGCTACTGGGCGCTGGGAGCTACGCGGGTCGACAAGTGTCTCGTCTCGCGTCGATTTTCCTCGCAAGATCCATTTCTCTCTCTCCGATATCCATTTCTCTTCCTCTCATCAATCCCATGCTGACAGCTGAAGCTGGCGGCGCCGGTCGGCGGTCGGCCGTGTTGATTGGCGTTGACCAGCGTGGTAAGGCATTTCCTGATATCTCGCCATTTTCGCCAATTGGCATTTGACAATTCCCCGACCGCCCGACGTCGCCGCGCCGCGCCGCGAGACGTCCTCAGCCCCACGTCCCCGTTTTGACAGATTGTGTACGTTCCACGTGAACTCTTTGTTTGGGCACCGGGAATGCCGGAATGATCACGGGGTGGTAACCGCATCGGCCACACGTTCGTCACTTAATAAGAGGCGCGATCCGAAGAATTCGAATTTGTGCTCGAGACGTGCATACGTGCTCGAGCGATATCGCTTTTGGGAGCGTCCGTGTCGATCTCTCGACACTTGTGCGCCTCTCGTCGCCTCCGCCTGGATCGTTTTCGACGATGGTCATTGGTCTTGGTCGTCTTGGTTATAATCGCCACCAGACACGTGAGCGCCTGTGAGCGCCGGTGAGCGCCGCATCACTTCTTCGCACGGTGGCGGGGGTTATGGGACGAGGAAAAAGGTGCTATATTTAGACATTTCTTTCGCCTCCTTTACTTATCTCGACTCTCGAGCAGACCGGATAAGCCGGATGGGAGAGACTTCGAATGTAATCTTTTTGTGTTTAATTAGGATATATGTTGTGTATCAATTGTAGCCCCTCGTGCGATGGAATATCGACGCTCCTCGACGATGGGGCTCCATTGTCGTGCAGGAAAATATTAAATGATACTTTCATTATTGTTGCTAGGGAGGCCCTCCTGTGATGGCAGGGAAAGATGGGAAGCTAGAGTCAAAAGGTGGAGACGTTATTCGACAAGGATTCATGATAAAACGTTCGCAGAACAAGAAGCGCTTTACCCCGGTCAATTACAAGCAACGATGGTTCATTCTGACCAAACATTATCTCATCTACTACGACGGAGATGGTGAGGTGAGTAATTTGAATATATATACCTAAATGTTTTACCTTCTATTACAGTGATCAACTGTTTAACCCGTGGCCGTGCTAAAAATTACATTTTCTATTCTATTTTTTGTTCTATTTTATTTATGCAAATGAAATAAACATTACATGGTCTGCAAGATTTTGCCTATTTCTCAAAGTTGCTCATTTATGCTAATTTGTGCTAACAAAGTGCTCCATCGAGCACGACGGTTGAAAGATGTTTTAGTCCATTAATTTTGTCAGTGATTTTAATAACATTTTACTAAAAGGAATTTATAAATTGTTCAACAAATCTTCATTTATAAATTGTTTATAAACGTTTTAAACGTTCATTAAGTATAAAATTCGGTTACAATATTGCGTCACTGATGGATGTCCATGATGGATGAGCACATACATTTCCAGAAGACATTAGAAATACTACTCGTCTTGAAAGCTTAAATTGCTTCTTTACGTTGCACAAAATTCTCACGCATACACGCGCGCACGCACGCACGCACGCACGCAGAAAATTATAATTATTTTTATTACAGAATTGTAAATTTCAAAAAAGTTGGATTACAAACACCTTATAATTTTGTGATTAATACATAATCATAAATTTAATTAGTTATTAAACTATTAGATAATTATTCGGCAACAATCGGCGATGATGGCGATTGTAACACGCCCAATGTTGTTTTTATCCAAGAGGCAATTAGAGCTCATTCATGCGTCGTCTACAATACACGGAGTAAAAAGTAAGAGTAAAGCCGGCGGCACACAATGCTTGTTTTTTTGCTGGATTGTTAACTAGAATAAATTCTTGTTTCCGTATTGGCTACGATCTGACACTGTCAGTACCGCAGTCAATACGATGGCAAGATTCTAATCCAGCTAGGAATCCAACAGGAAAACAAGCATCGTGTGCCGCAGGCTTTAGAGTAAGAAATTGACCAATCACAGTCGATTATTCTCACATTCGACTGTGATTGGTCAATTTCTTACTCTTACTTCTTACTCCGTGTATTGTAGACGCGACGCTCAGATGTTGAACTCTTTGAACGACGAGTAGAGTGCAGGTGATCGGCTCGATAACCGCGTGCGATCGTGACTAGCACCAATAGCTATCTCCGTCTCCGTCTCCGTCATCCGCATTGAGCGAGGTAGTAGGGATGCAATGGTGCTTTTGGTAGGAGATGGCGGATAATATGCACCGTATACCTATAAAATTAGTGGCGCAGGCGCCCCTCGTGAATTTTCCATCCTATCTCTCCTTCCGCTTCTTCGTCGTTGTCGTGGATGCTGTTCAGTCAGTGGCCGTCGTTCGAGGTCGGTCTCGACGACGCACGATCCTTAGGTTTCGCTTGGTATCGTTCCACACAAGTTGACGATTCCTCGGACGAGTCTATAACGCTTTAATCCTGATCTCTCTCTCTCTCTCTCTCTCTCTCTCTCTCTCTCTCTCTCTCTCTCTCTCTCTCATACTATGAACAAAATAGAAAAACACGCGGACGTGATTTAGCCGTTCTGGTGAATCCTGTCCTATCTGATTCGTGAGCTACAGTATACCTGTGGGAACCCCACACGACACTTCTTGTAGACCAATTGTGATCAGCTGTGATCTTAATCTTTTCACATCGCTCCGAGAGAATCGCCTCTTACACATCGTCCCTCATACCGATCTCGGCCAACCTTGGCGTAGTGATCCACGTGCGGATCCTACCGACTTGGTCATCCTGTTCATCGCGTCACGAGCTCTACCGTACAACGTGGAGGTAAAGAGCCGAATTCGGATACCTTTCCTTTCGTTCCGTTCTTTCGTTTTTATTTAATTGATTAGACTGTCCGTCGTCTTGGATAGACATCCATGTTGCATAAACCCTTATAAATTCCGCTAGAAATGTTTCCGGGCAAAGTCGCTGGATGCCGTTTGCAAATTACTTTCTCGCGTCTAAAATGTAGATATATACCATACCAATATTCCAATGATAGACTCACTTTTATTATGCTATAAATATCTCATTATTTTATTAGAATTAACAGTCGATTCATTGCAAAATCAAATAGCGCTGACACCCATAACTTTTTGATTGAACTCAGAAACAAAGCTCAGAGGGAGGGAGAGAGGGGGAGGGGGAGGAGAGAGAGAGTTCAAGGACAATATAAATTGCATAATGACATTATTATCAGAATTAGAAATCTTGGATGTGTCGGAATGACTTGGAGGATACTCCGGAGGTAAATATCTTATTACAATTTGGTTTTGTTGATAAAAATCAACATCGGCGTGCTAAATACATCCTTCGTTAAGGACCAAATTGTAATAAGATATTTACCTCCGGAGTATCCTCCAAGTCATTCCGACACATCCAAGATTTCTAATTCTGATAATAATGTCATTATGCAATTTATATTGTCCTTGAACTCTCTCTCCTCCTCCTCCTCCCCCTCCCCCTCTCTTCCTCCCTCCCTCTGAGCTCTGTTTCTGAGCTCAATCAAAAGTTATGGGTGTCAGCGCTATTTGATTTTGCATGAATCGACTGTTAATTTTAATCAGATGAGAAATTGTTGCAGCGCCGCAAGGAACGCGGACGGATCGCCGTGGAGAGCGTCCACGTGGTAGAGACGGCCAGCCTCGGGAATGGTGGAGGTGCTGTCAGTGACGTGGCGGGCGGAGGCGACGCCGCCGGTGGAGGCGGCGGAATACCATCCGGACTGCCTTTCCAGGTGGGATATCGAGAAGCTGGTCAAGAGTACACGCTCTACCTCCTCGCCGCTCGCGAACAAGATCGCGCCGAATGGATACGTGCTATACGCGCTGGTAAGTCTCCCTCTTCCTCCACATTTTTTTTTCCCTCGTAATTAGAGTGACAAGTCTTTCGGTGCGCAATTTTTATCGCAAATAAATGGAAAAGTATTAAAAGGAATTTTTTGTATATTTAAATACAAAAAAATATGTGTGTTTGTAGATGACGATTTTTTATCACTGAGAACGAATCCGTAAATAAAATTGCTCTATCACATCAGGTTTTTGAGAAAATTGATACTAAAGGTGCCAAAAATAATATTTTTGGGTTTTTTTTAGCTGAAATATCTTAAAAACATGACGTAATAAAGTAATTTCATTTAAGAATTCGTTTTCAGCGACAAAAAATCTATAAGAATCGTTTGATTCCGTTCGTGGTCTAAAACTCGTGTAGGATAGTATAACCCTGTACAAGACTCTAAATCCATTATTGATGCTGTACCGTACATACAATATGCGTGATTAAAGTTTTTTAAAATATATGAATTACACAGTAAAATTACAGTAAAATTCGGACCGACAACGTCTATTAAATCAATTCCGAGAGTAAAGTTCTAAGTCATACCATAATCTGTCATTTAAAGCGCAATATGTCATAACAACTTAAAAACAATTTGCAAACTACTTATTTGTAGTGTGCAGTGAAAATTCGGGCTTGAGTGGGCGTTATCACGCGGGCTTATGGAGCGGGAAACGTTGGTCCTGCTGCCGATTATCAAC